CAAATCGGGCTCCGACATGTATCTGTCGTAAACTTTGTAATCAGTCAGATGACATAATTAAAGTACTAAACTCTAATATTTGAATACCTATAAACTATTGGTGGGATTTATCCCTTCGAGCGTAGAACCTACAGTAAATATAAGGACCCCCCACGCAGGTACAACACAATGAAAGATCTTCCGTAAGTTCAAAGTCAGGCCAGAAGACTGATACTAATACATACGAAACACGTAAGCTACAATTAATGTTCTTCGTGCCAAATAGGCTCATTTAATATTCATAATTTAAGTATTCAATGAAGATATAGCTACATCACAACCTTCCGACGACGTTCTATCTTCAGAATCACCTTCCGATGTTCAAGAACAGGCATCAAGCAATCGTACAAAACCATCTGCAAGATGGAAAGGAGTTCACAAATTAACTACATCGAAAATATCCAGCCTATTTTCATTTGTCGTAGGACTGGTAGTTTCGTTCGATTGTGCTTGAAAAATGATCAGGAAAAATTATGGTAGGGTTAATGGTTATGCCACTAGAAGCGGTACGTAAGGCGGTTTAATTATTGACTACGGGACTGGACAAATGATAGCGAAGCACATTTCGCTGTAGAGAGGAATTTTCTGTGGAGACGAAAATTTATGTGCAATAGCTCGCGTTTAAGAGACTTTAAAACCTTTCCACCACATGGTAAAATTATCAGACAAGAATCACTCCTCCAAAGGATTAAAAAATCTATTGTATTCAATACTAAAAAACAAACACCATGATCATGAAATGAATAAAAATTCAATTGGTTATTTGCATAGATGCTTCACATATGCTCACCGACAATGGCACTGCAGACAATTCCATTCTACGCTTTTAATGATCATAAGAATTGTACTGATGATTGGTATGATTATGTGGAAAATCCAGCGGAATATACACATCGTACTATTGGTGAGGGATTCCTCAATCAAACTCTACTCACAGCGGTCAATAATATCTTGCAAGGACTCACCAAAAATGCTGAAAAATATTCACATGTCGCTTTTAGGCAATGCGACGAAAGTTTAAATGCAAAAATTAGGTGTAAGGCGCCCAGGAATTTGCGCTATAGTCTAACAGAGTCTATAGATTTTAGAATTGCTACTGCTTACTGAGAAGAGTGAAGGTGAGAGTCACATAATCTCGATTTTCGAGAGACTAAATTTGACAATCGATGACAATTTACGTAAACGCCTCGAACACTCAGAACACAGGGCAGCTGCCAATACTGATAAGGCAATTACACCTAAAACCAAAGCAAGTCGTCTTGAGCTCAAGAAAAAGAGATAAGCCTGGCATCATCGCAGGGAAAGGTCTGAAGGGGTCATATATCAATCTCACGTCGGATTGATGACTGACCTAACTATTAATCAGCCATCAATGAAAGACATAGTCGTCCTTCAAAATCCAGACTATCAAGTTGTTGATTTCGATTTTGAAACATCAGAGTTGAGTGGCAACTGCGATATCCTCCAGATTGCAGATTGGCACTGTCTCCACATCTTTCATTACCTATGTGAAGCCCTCCAAACTTGTTGATCCAGGTGCAACCAAAGTTCATGGCTCAACCAATGTTTCAGGTGACCTTTACGTCGATGGAATTCCTCTGCTACCCCTGACTCTACGCAATAAACGACAAAAAAAATATGGTTGAAGCTGGTATCGGCTATGATAATTTGAACAGTACTTTCAGGAAAACAAGGCAGAATTGGAGCCTTTAAAATATTTAGTAATAATGTTAAATATAAACCTCGATAATTCAACCCTCAAGAAATGTATCGAAAGATTACAGATCCCCTTGAGAAGATAAAGGAATAATTGTTCATTTTCAAATTTTTTTATGAGATTATAAATTATACCTACATATTTTATTAGTTTTTTGGATTTTAGAAATAAAAAAAAGAAACTGAAAAAAATTGATAATGATGTTCTTATTGTATAGATAATTTTTTCATATTTTTCCATTTTCTTTTTCAATTGTGTAACTTTAATTCATCAATAATTGATTATCTCATCATTAATTCACACCTTGTGTACTCGCGCATGTGTGTGCGTGTGTGTGTTCATTTTTTTTTCATTCAATTAAGACTTGTCAGCTTCGACTCAGCCTATATTCCGAAATAAGATTGCCGCTAATATGTATAATTTAGGAGCGATCACGCAGCTTTTACAGATAGAATTCCGATACAATGAAATGACAATTACCAAAACGATCGCTCAAAATATCGCCATCCCCGTATAATACCCAGGTATTTTCCTACAATGAAGTACTCTCTGTTAATTCATTACTAGAAGAATTATGCAAATTTCATTCGTAGTGTTACGTCAGAAGACGTATCGCATGTTTCAATGAAATTAAAAATTTAACGAACTACGAAAACAAAAAAATGAAAGAACGTAAAATAAAAAAAACAATGAGTAATATCGATCGAAATCCCGTATTTGAACGAAGTTTAAATTTTGATCGATATTACTCGTATAAAAAAGAAACCACAAGATCATTTTTTTTTATTGTTCATACGAGTCCAAGTCACCTTCACTTAGATGGTCAGGTCGAGTGACGTCATTCATATAATTGTAATATAATCGAGTTGCTAGGACAACAAAAACAAAAATATGTATTAAAAAATAGAAAAAATTTTGGTGAATCGAAAAAATAGTTCGGAAACAATTAACATAAGGAAAAACGGAAAATAGATAAATTAATCATTATAAAATAATCATCACGTGATTAAGTGGAACCCTTGCAATTGTCTCCAAGTGCGTTATCACTACGAGACTCAGGTGTCCGTACCTGGTGCATCGACATCGTTCGATGTCCCCTCCTTTATTAGCACATCCTAATTTATATCCATGCACAGATTAAGACAATTGAAAAAACGAAACTAAAGGAGTGCACACAAGCACCGAAAGCCAGTTAGCCGTCACTACTTATGCAGTTAGTTAGTTGGTTGTGACTACTTACATAGGTTTAGTATTGAGAAGTATTGTGAGTAACAACGAGGATGTAGTCAGTCTTCGTCAATCGTAGTCGTCAATAGTTATAGTCAGAGAAGTATCCCTTAGTACGAACAACTCGAATTCCTTTTCCCGCGGTTTCCTTCGTGTTTCAATTCCGCGATTTTATAAAAGTTTGAACCAATAAAATTATGTGACATAATCTATTAGTGATCGAAAATTGAGGTAATTTAAATTTTAAACATTTAACCAGTGATAAACATTTGATTAGTTTTGGAAGTCATCGATGATCAAGGAGCAAAATTCACGGAACTTGGATTACATCAAGAAAAACTACGGAAAAATTAGATGAGTTGAATTTTTTTTTTATTGTTAAATTTTTTTCTTTTATACACAAAAATGTGATTATAACAAAATTGCAATTTATAATAGATTCCATCAATTAAAGCGATCAAAGAGCAAAACGGAAAAACTGTAATGAAAATTTAAGTCGTGGAAAAATAACAGGAATTTTGTTTAATCAGATAAATTTTACTTTAATAGTTGAATAAAATTGGAATTGTGAATTAAATTTTTTATTTTCATATTATTTTAGCAATTCACCCTACTCCGATCCCAAGTTATTTCCGAAAGATAGGCTCAAAACAGGAGAAATTAATACTCATAGTTTTGCACTATTTATTTGATAATCACTATCAAATATTTAATGGAAAATGTGACATAACAGAAGTTTATAATCAATATAAAGATGGCATTATGCTAAGTGTAATAAATGCATCAATCGATATATTGAGATTGTTAACAGAACTGATTAATTTCTGCCAAGAGTGCACTGTATTTTCGATTTTCCTTTTTGAAATTTGCCTTTGAAAAAAAAAACAAAACTCTGTTTCACTGCGTTCCATTATTTCTTTTATAAAAACGTCGTCGAATATATAGTACATATAATAGTTTTGAAGTGGGTATTATCATCAACCCGAACCAATGCAGCCCTCAGGCCCATGAATTTTTCCCTTTTCATCAAATAAATAAAATTTCTTTGCCAAATCACCGAATAAAATTGCTTCTGAATTTTTTTGCCATAATATATAAAATTTATATTTTAAATATATAGCGTATACTTAATCGTTCCACTTTCTAAGTCAATAGCAACCGTTCTAACCTAGTCGTAGTAGCAATTGGCACTCAACATTCCACTCCCATGCTGTTTCGTGCGTATGAATCCCGTATTGACAACACTATAAAAAAAAATCTTAGGTTATACTGGTCAGAAAATTTTCGACACAACGTGTTTGTTTATATTAATTGAATTGAAACCCACGGTGAAACGACAAGGAGCGCATTTTTGGTGTCTTGATAAAGATAAATCAACGAAATTAAGAGCTTAATAGGATAATGCCGGTTTCAAATAGTGCGGCAAGTGCAGTGAGTAGTTCCCTGCCAAAATGGCAATTGGCATTGGCAGTTGGTGCACCGGTAGCTCTGGGCCTAGGATACATATATTACAAAAACTCAAGCCAAGGAAAACCCAAGGGGCCAGATAAGAGCAATGGCACTGCCCCGGAGAAACAAATTTCAATTGACGGTGACTCACCTGGAAAAAATATCAGGTCTGATAGACCTGAGGTTAGTTATCATTCAATAATATATTTGCCAATATTATTAGTTTCTGTCCAGTTTCTGTCCAGTTCCTGTCCACGTTCTGATTGTCCAGCAAATTGGGATCCGTTGAAACAGCAAAACATTACCAAATATATAGTGATTAGAAAAAATTGAGTCCACTATTATGATCATTAGCACGTCTTTTCTAAACGTTTTAGACACCGGCTGCAAAGGCACAGAGATATAAGACGCTTGGTAATGAAGTATTTCGCGTCGGAAAATACGATGATGCTATTTTGTACTATAACAAAGCCATTGAAGCATGTCCACTGGAAGATAAAAATGAGTTAGCAACGTTTTATCAGAATAGAGCTGCTGCTTATGATGCGCTTGTAAGTACTATTTTCCCTTATTAAATTTTGTTGAATTGCCCTGATTTTAGTGAATTGCAGGAAAAGTTCACGGCCGTCAAAGACGATTGTACAAAAGCTCTTGAATTGAATCCCAAGTATACAAAAGCACTGATTCGCAGAGCCAAAGTATTGGAAAAAATTAATGAGCTGGAGTTGGCACTTGAAGACATCACTGCTGCTTGTATTTTGGAAAAATTCACCAACTCCAGTGCTCTCCTCGCTGCTGATAGAGTTCTAAGACAACTCGGTAAGTCAATACCAGTCAAACACAGGAAATGTCATTCCAATTTTATTAAATATTCTCACTGATAAAAATATACATATATTATATTTTAGGGAAACAACATGCTCAGGAACTTTTGACGACAAAAAAACCGGTGATGCCCAGCAAGCATTTTATCAAAACGTACTTCAGCTCTTTTAGAAACGACCCACTATTATCAGCAGAGGCCATAAACTTGTTGGATAATCATGGCAGCCCGTGAGTTTAAATTTGATAATGCATCGATTAGGGGGATGGCGTTTTTTTCCACTGAGGGAAAACATTTCTACTTCCGAAAATATATTACGAAGTTCTGCACATCAATTTACATCGAATATTTGATGGCCTGAAATGAATCCTTTTATTGGCTGCGAACTTGACCTAATCTCCTGCTCAATATTGATTAATGCGTGGCAAGCAAATTAATTGTATTGTCGATGATGATTAGCCTCACGTCAACAGAGATTTTGATTTTTAATCAAACACATTGTTTTTTAACATGACATTTGAGACCTTGGAGTTTATTGAAAATATGTGTATTCATACCCCATTACTATATTCAATTAAATTGAATGACAATTGGAATTGAATACTTATATTTTTAATGAAAGACATTTTTTTCTATAAAACAAGTTTCCTGAATTCAAGAAATGTTGTCCACCCGAGCATGTAGTTTTTCAACAAAGCAAATTTTTTTCTCTCAGTGTTCAACTTGAAACCATCATATTTTTTAAGGGTCATGCGAAAAATAGTTTTGTATTTCCCGTTTGATATTTACCATTAATATACAAGATGTTCTATTGAATTGCTAAAGCTGAATATTATCGAAAGCTCAATAACAGAAAAATATATATAGTGATTAGAAAACATTCAATAACCGTCCCATTTTATGCATACGATCAGTAATATCAACTATTTATGAAGCAACAGATCCGGTTATTTGGCGAGGCCTTGTTCACCGGAATTGTTAAATTTCCGTAGTCTAGTTATTAACTTTCAATATCTTTCAATATTCTTTCAATTCTCTCACGGGTTGCGAAAACAAGATAATTGAATGAATCGTTTCAGACTGAACGATTGACGAGTGAACTATTGAGAAAATGTAGTCATTTGTATCCCCTTAGATGACACTTGCAAAATATCAGAAGCTTCAAAAGCAGGACAACAGTAAAAAATGAGTTTTAAAAGTTGTGTTTTTGCATGATATTAAATAGACCATCGATAATTGTAGTATCGTATTATTGTGCCTGCCCATAATGGAGGGAAAGTGGAAAAATTATCGATGTTCTCTTTGATTCTATGCGTAACAGCTGTTAAATTACTTGTTCTTATTATGTGCTGCCTCTGAAATTTTTTAAATATTGCAAGCAATGTCTATGTAGTAAATGTAGTAGATACGAATCATTAATGAATTGGCTGCATTATTTAATTATGTACTTTTTTATGGTTAATCAATAAGGATCTGAGGATATTTATTTTTTTTATTCTTATTTTTGAGTAGTAAAATCCAGGGCTAAATAATTCTTTTGATACTTATTGCTATTTTGCGTTACGAAATAGACCCCATGGCCCATTACATGACAACTAGTTCTTATTACATTTCAAACTCGTACATTAGAAGGAAAAAATCCTATCGTTAATTCAATAAGGGAAGAACAAAAAACATCAGATAATGGTATAATTGTATCATTTTCAGAGTAAATGTCTGAAACAGGTCCACCAAGAAATAATAAAGTGAATTTCGGCCTCGAAGTCACGGGCTCTTTAACACCACCACATCCCCGCGGTGGCCCTGGGTAACGCTATGAGCGGTATAAAAATGCGCTTAACTTCTGTTTTAATTGTTTCCAAAGACTCATTTTCAGAGATTCGAAAACAGAAAGAAAAAAGCCTCAAATCTAGATATACAACGAAAAAATCGGACCGATGAACCTGTTCTAGACATTTTCCCATTTTAGAAGAGGGAATGCAAAAAAGCAATTTCTTGGACGCTTTGCACGCAGAAAACGTTTTCTGCACCAGTATCATACAATTTTGTATGATACATATATGAAAAAAGTACTTTGTGACGAGTTGGATTAGAAACCTCACCTTCGGCACGGCTTGTAATTCTTAAACTCGTCAAAATATTTTTTTTTCATTAATTCTATGACATTATACTGTTACTTTATTTCATCCTTCGAAAAGTCATACAATTATTCTGAGGTGAATCGTAATTTTTCGCTGTCAATTCAGCCATAAATTACCGAACGGAACGGGAAGATTCCGAAATAATTCCGTAAAATTTTCCTTAACGATTTTTCGCGTGCAGGCATTTTTTTTCACAATTACGGCAAAGAAACGTAATTTTTATTGAATATTCCTCTTTTAATCGTTTAATGGAAAAATCCTCCAGATATATTATCATATTTTAAAACGAAATCACTATTGTTTGAAGTCTCCTTAGTTCACTAATCCTTCCATAGCCGCAGTGCTGTAGCCTGGGGTTCCGACATTTTTGCGAAGCCTGAAATTTTGCAAATCGTTGCTTAATGACTTCATCAATGAATTTAAAAATATTCATAAAATTGACTGCATTTTTTAATTCCCACTTTCTCATCCGATTATCATTCATCGTAAAAATAAAGAAATACTGAAATGGCAAACAGTTTGAGCTATTAGGAATGGGTTTATCTTTTAGCCATTAATAATTCCACAGCAAAATGACCAAAGATCTTTCTGGGGATAAAAAAAACAATTAACGGACGTTCTTCAGTGGAATGATCATTCAATCACAGATTGTTTTTACAGGGGATTGACGAATGCTGTCGAAGCTTTCAGAGGCGAGAGATACGATGATATAATTCCAATTTGCACAGCAGAAATAGAAAAAAGTGACACTAGTTTATCTGATAAAATGCAACTTCTCTTACTGAGAGGAACATTTTATCTTCTCCTTGGGCAACCTGACAAAGCGATAGGTGATCTGAATGCAGTAATAAGTAATGAATCGGCGAGTAAAGAAGTCCGAGTCAATGCATTGATCAAACGAGCGACGATGCATATGCAGTTAGAAAATTCGTCCCAATGTTTGAAAGACTTCGAAAAGGCAGTCGAAATTTATCCAAACTGTGGCGACATTTATCACCATCGTGGACAGGTATTTCATATACTTCACATATTTTTTAACTCGTACATTAATCGTTTAGATTCATTAGAATGTATCAATAAATTTTTTCGTATAGGTGAATTTACTCTTGGAAAAAGTCAATGAAGCGAGAGAGGATTCCGAAAAATCATTGAAGTTGAATCCTGAGTTTGGAATCGCATACGCACAGAAATGTTACACCGATTATCGTCATGCAGCACTGAGTAGAATGCCGAATCTGCTTGAATCTGCGATGGAGAACTTTGAAAAGTCTTTCGAACTCTTCCCAGATTGCTGTGAATGCTACACCCTGTATGCCCAGGTCAGTTACATTCTAAATTTAAGGTTCGGATAGAAATTTTTAGTTAATCTATATGTTGAGAAAACTCACCGCTCTACATTTTTCCGGGCGCAAATAGTCATAACGCAAATATACGCCATGCACTGTACAAATATAATAAACGGAAAATATGGTAGAAAAATGTCTGCAGGACCAACCAGAGCTAGTCAATATCGACCAGTCGGACTTGACAATACTGACATATGACAGAAAAAGTCAATTTAAGGTCTGCATAAACTATCTTTCAAACGTGATTTTTAGTTTGAATTTAATAGTGTTAGTCAAAAATACATAAAAGCCAAATTGTGTTGCTGAAACCACTCAACTGTTTATAATAATAAAGAAAAAGAGGAAAAAATCTTGCTGGGGAGTAAAGAGTCATATTGAGTTTATAGGGGTCTACCAAGTTGACAAAAAAATAATGAAATACACAATTTACCATGCATATTTGAGAGTCGATTTCGATTCCATATTATTATTGACTGTCAAATGTATTCTTCTTCGCAATAATGATAACTGGTAAAGTGTCTATTTTTTATTAATTCTGTAAACTTGGCAGATTCCTTTAAATCAATATGGCTTTTTAAGCCACCATCTCCCCCCCCCCCCTTCCGCTTTATTATTCCTCTTTTTAATCATCATCTTTTTATAGTCATTGTAGTGAATTCTCTAACACAATTTGTATTCACGATTTTTATATATTTTAGTCATCACGTTCCACAGATAGTCCCCCCGGGCCTTCATTTTGTTATTCTTACTATTATAGTATGTCCGTGAAATTGAATTACTTGTTTTTCTTTATATAAAGCTATTATTTCCCTAGGGACTAGAAAGTGCGATTCTACCGCACTTTTCCCTACGACACACAGAAGTATTAGTATTTTCTCACTCATGTGAACCTCGCAATTCATTGGAATAATACTTTACTCTACAGACACAACATACTATTTCGAACTTTTTGGGATGTAATGGAGAGGTAACTCAAAAGATTAAAAACTTAAATTTCGCCGATCACACTGTTTCCAGTGAGAAACAAAAATTATCAAAAATGAAAAATGCACACGCGCAGCTTCAAATCGACAATATCGGAGTTAGGAATATTAAAAAAGAAAACACGCCAAATACGAATGGATTTGTGAATATATGTTTCACTATGAGAAATAATAGAGCAGCAAAAGTAATCTGAACTTTACTAACTCTCAGTCCAAACACGTTGTTTTCCAATTTTCTAAACGACAAGCTAGAAAAATGAAAAAAGGCTTAAAATATGTTTGAGAAACAATATCATTGTTAGGAATAGTTCAAATAAAAACATCTGCGTAGTAAATAAACATTAATCTCCTGAAATTTCCTATTTTTCCGTTTAGCTACTGGTTTTCTATATATAAATAATTAATTCATTTCCGTCTCAACCATAAGTATCTTAAATGAAATTCTGGGAATCCCCATTGAATCAATAGTTTCATTTGTTTATTTCAAAAG